AAAGGATGAAATAAAAAAATTGATTGAAACCAAACGAATTGTACCTGTTGAACACTCTGAATGGAGCACACCAGTCGTCCCTATAAAGAAAGAGGATGGCTCACTTCGTTTGTGTGGAGATTTTCGTGTGACTGTTAACAAATATCTCAAGAAAGAATTTATAGCTATGCCATCGATACATAATATTATAATGAAATTAAAAGGCAATAGTTATTTTTGTAAGATACATTTGGGTGACGGATATTTAGACATTCCCTTAGATGATGAGGCACAAAATTTACTCACTATTATTTCAACAGAAGGTAAATTCAAACCTCTATATTTACCATTTGGAGTCACTAATGGACCAATGCTGTTTCAAAAATATGTATTAAAAAAGTTAAGTGGGCTGGATGTCATAATACATTGTTATAATATTTACGTATATGGTAAAACTCTGTTGGAAACATCTGAAAAATTATCATCAGTATTAAAAAGATTACAACATTCAGGGTTGGACATTAAATATAAAGAAAGTACATTTTTTAAGGAAAACCTGTATGTTTTTGGGGTTGAAATAAATAAACAAGGAATAATGCAGATGAAAAGTAATGTTAAACCATTGTTATTATTACCTCGTCCAAAAAATTTATTATTTTTGAAATCATTTATGAGAATAGTAAATTACTACAACGATTTTTTACAACATGAGGGAATTAGCATAAAAACTTTAAACCAATGTATAACTAAAAATAAATTTGTTTGGACAAATGAATGCGACAAACATTTTAATATCTTTAAGAAAACCTTATCATTGACGGCATCTGTGTCATTATTGAATAAAGACTCAGTTATAATTCTTACCTGTAATTCATGTCAAAATAGTGTGACCGCCTTTTTATCTGTTATAGACCATGAACTTATTCTAAAACCAGTAGCATTTGCAGTAAAGGAATTAAAAAGTATTGAAATTGCTACCTCAAAGTTAGAAAAAGATGCATTTGCTATAATGTTTGGTGTCACTAGGTTCTGCGATTATTTATATGGGCAACAATTTTTATTAGAAACTGATAATGAACAATTAGCAAAACTATTAATAGAACAATGTGGATTTGTAACAGGAATGTCTTATGAATTATATTTTTGCTTAATTTATTTGATTGGTTTTAACTATACGGTTATTTATAACGAAATAAACCTGAACCCAGGAGATTATTTTTCACTCGTGATTTCTGATAAATAAACTGTAAAAGTTTTTAATTATATTAAAATAAAATGTTTAAACTAAAAAAAATGCTTTTTGGCCATAATTAAAAATAAAATTATCGTGTATCTTATTAGCTGGAAGCAACTAAATTTACGGTTAATAATCTTGTATCGGATATTATCAGAATTAATGTATAATTACGTTAGATTTAATTCTTTGTTTTTATTTATCCATACGTCCATTTTAATATTTTTCATGGTCACATCAATGAATAAGTGTTTAAATGGAAATTAATGTCAAACTTAATAATATTGTGTGCTACAAGGTATGTAAATTACAGCGTTGTTGTAGGTTAATCTCGTTTAATGTTACGTAAATTTTGGTATTTTGATAATGGACAATGACGAGGTTTTTCGTCTTTACTTAAAAAGTTCGGGTTTTTAAGACTAACAGAAATATTGCCACATTTTCATTTTATACCCAGTTTTTAAGCATTATGACAAGTTCGTTTTAATTAAATAAACCTAAAATTTGTATCTAGTATGAATGGCTTTTTTCTATTCCAATTGCGAGTATTGTTAAAGTGCATTCAGCCTGACGTTAATATAGGATGGAAATGAACGTATAACTGAATAATGCTGTAGTGAAAAAAGATTTCTAATTTCCATCGTAATTATAGCATTATCAAATTTAAAAGCATGATTTGAAATGTTATCAAATTCTTATATAATGCATCCTTTCTTTACTTATTGGTTTTGAAAAGTAACTTAATTAAAACATGCCATGTTAAAAGAAATAACATTATGAATCAAATGCTATTTACATAACAATTTAATATAAGAATTTAGATTTTATTATTATTATATTATACATGCATTATTGAACAACATGAAAACATAAAAAGAACCATTACAAAAAGGAAAACTTATAAAGTATATACAATAAGACTTATCGCTAAAGATCGATCTCTTCCAAACAACCTTTGGGCTAAAAGTATTACTTTTTACAATAGCTTGTTACTTAGCTAATGAAATATTTTGAATTTAAATATTGATTACTATGTTACATTAAAATACATTTCTTTATGTATCTGTCTCGTGTAATCTTTTGTATTAAGTTTATAATGTTTCTAATAAAACTATTCTTAGAGTACCCATTATAGTTGGTTTTATCTTATTATTGGTCTAAGCTAATTATGCGAAGTATGTAACTCATAGACAAATGTACATGTGTGTATCTCATTTATACTTGTAATAATGAACAAAATAGTTGTAATAAAGATATAAGTAAATATAATGAGTATTCATTCATCTATTGATTTCTCAAACACGCCTAATTTGTTAAATCAATGAAACAATAGGTTTTTTTACAGAACACCGTACTGAAATAATACACCCTATATCACTCTCATACTTAGACGAAAATATATTTAAGGCATATTAGTAAGTCTCCAAAATGCATGGGAGCCAGGCATTTTCTATAGGCTAATAGGTTGAATCGGACACTTAATTTTTCGATTTGAAATAAATTTACAAAACTTGCAGGTATTTGAAAATAAAACTAACTTGAAATTTCCTAAAGAAATTAATAGAAGTTTGAATTTCTTAAATGTTTACTTCGTAATCTTATACTCGATCGATGGCAAACCTTATTTAGGAAGTAATACATAACATTAATATTTATTAATGTTATGTTTTACTTTTTCTATTTAAAAACGAATTAATGTTCACTGCTTTTTTCAATTTTATTTCAATTAAATGTTTTGTTGAATGTTAATAGAAGTATTGAACACAAAGGAGAATTTATTAACTAATATGTTTTTCTGTTTGTAATGTTACTAGAAAGAGTAATAATAGTCATTATTACATTTAATTAGCTAAAATTTTGCTATGCTCAAAGTAAACAATTGAAGAAAACAAGTGAATGAAATTGTTATTTCATTCCACTGACATACATCGATTTGAGTCTTTCTGTTAAAGAAAAAGCAAGAATTTATATTAAATTCTAGATAGACAAGGCTAACTCCATTTTGGTGCATTTTCGATCAGAAGGCAATGTTTGATTTGTAAAATTTATGCTCAAATCATCGCCGAAGCTTGCGAATGGGCGAGGCAGACACAAAGCAAAAACAGAAACATTATCGATATTTAAGCCGACAAATGTTTACAAAACAAAGTTTAAGTCGAACTTATTATAATTAGCGTGAGCATTTACTAAAACGCCCTCCAGGTTTTTGATATATATATTTTAAGTTCGGGCGTCTGTCTCTTCAGAACTCTTCTAAAATATTCACGAAATAATAAATAAATATGTACGTATTATTTTTTTTTTTGAATTATTACGTAAAAAAAATATTTGTGCGATTTTCACATATACGTAGTATCCATTAATATCCTACAACTTGTGAAACGAGAGGTAATTCACAGTGACATCTATGGGACACAATATAAAACACTCAAATGGTTAGTCGTGTAAAGTACAGAGTAGGTAGGTACATAATAATTTTCAAACTAGATGTCTTATATAAACAATATTTAATATTAAATCATTTACAAATTAATACTCGTTTTTCAAAACTTAACAAATATATAGAAATTTTCAAGTTTCTAAACCATTCAAGTATAAAAATAAAGTTTAATGTGTGAGTTATTTTCTTGTTTCTCACTCAATTTTTTCCCAAGAGTAACATATACGCGACTCATAAATTTAAATGTCCACGCAATAAGTAAACATACAATATGACTTAATTATTTTATCACGCGAAATTCGTTGTATTTTGCGTTCTTTTGTAATCATACTTCGATAATTTAAAAAAAAAACTCATTTATATCATTTAATTACAATATACTTACCACTAACACTCACTGAAGGCAAATAAATTCACAATAAATGAATGATATGATACACAGAATAACCGTAAATAAAACATTTTTAAAGGTCAAAAAATTTATTTCTTCCAATAAATACATACTATACTACTATTATGTATAAGTTCTTAAAAGCAAACATTGCAATAAATTAAGAGTGCGAATAAATTTTAGTTAGTTGATCATTCCATATCAGATAATTGCAGGTCAATTTATAACTGCTTGTATTATTACTACAGTAAAGTTTTTTCGAAGAACTATTTATATCACTTAAACGTAACATTTACTACAAACTTAGCACACCGCCATAAAGCAACGAAAACAACATTAAAAACTACTTAAAACAGCACATTCATCGATTCCTGATGCATAGCGTTTAATAATTTATCAATTTAAACCTGATCTTCTGTAGCTTAACATCGATATAATAAATTATGTATGATGCAATGAGATGAATGTAAACATCTTTAAAAATATATCCAGGAAGTCTTGACACTGTTAAAGAATCCTTCGCTCCGACTGACATTCAGCGTCTCTTAATTTCAAGTATTTTTGAATATTTATTTATTTGAAAAATTTCAAAAGTTATATACGTACCCGGTTAATATTTGGATCGTAGAAAATTAACTGGCGGGTGAATTAATAAACAGTACTTGAATTAATATTCATTAGCTTTATTAATAAGATTTTTCAAGTTTCATGAAATCCTAAATACCAAATGACTAAAATCACATTTACTAGATTAGGTAGACTGAATAGTATTAAAATTACTTCTAAAGAAAAATCTACTGATATAATTATGTATATAAAGCCACTTTGTAGTGCAAAACTAAAACAGACACATCGACTACTGATCAAATTGAAATAAATTATTTATTGATCGACGTCCTCTTCAAAATATTCTCGAGCTTTCTGACTTCTCGGGAATATGGTACCGGGCGTCGTTAGTTGTCCTGAAAAAAAATAATGTCTTGTTAATATACAAAGTCATTTTAAGGGAATATATCAACACGTTTGAGATCGGAACGTGGGTATTTTTTAAAGATTAAGGCGATTACTTTACTTTTACGAATATCCCAAATTTTATATGTTTCTTATGAGTAAATTATGTATACAGAGGTATACCTATGGGTAGGTAAAGGAGAGGGCTATGAACAGGGAAGGATGGAGGGTGTTACACAGCTGAACTTCTGGAATGCTACACCGACAAGAGCCTAGATCTTAAATTAAAGAAAAAGATGTATAAAATTTGGTATAACATTGTGGCATATTATAAAGTGATAAAATAATTTTTTAAATTTTATGAGTTCTTGATAATATTTTAGGAGTCTTATAAAAAATTAACACCTTTTTGAACTTCTTGACTAGCTTAGAGTTTCACCTTTTTGATTATTGCAGCTGAGAAAAACTTTTCGTGCAGTATTTTACAAATTTTAATTCACTTTTATGATAAATTATAAAAAGTTGCACTACATGTTTTGGAATAATTTTTAATTTTTGTGGTCCGAGAAAAACGCTGTCACCATTTACATATAAAACAGATTATAGCGCCATCTGTGTTTTTCTATTGGACGCCTGCTGTGTATTGAGTTGAAAAACCTGTACTGTAAGACTATGGTATTTTAAATATTGCGCTGGGTTGCACATATCGTCACGCCATCGCAAGATGTCTCCGTGTTTTATTTCCACTTTAGTATTCAATGACGTGCTTAACATTTATTGATGCCGACGTTTTGAAATTTAATTTTATTCATATAAAACCTCAAAAAAAAGAGTTCATACCTCAAGTTGAACAATACATAATTCTATTTTATTTAGAAAAAAATAACTGGATTAAATGAGATTATTATTTTTTATATGCTAGCTATTTATTACCCGCGACATCACCTGCGTGATCAAGGAAAAGAGTCAATGAGTTGTGTATCATTATGCATACTACAAAATTCATAAGCATGATATAAGTATCCCTGATCTGCCATGTATAGGGAAACCAAAAATGAATGCTGGGAAACTAAATAAACTGGAAAAACACTATAAAATATAGTTATCATTTGCATTTAGGTCATGTTTGTACAGTACTACAGGGTATGAAAAGCCAATATGCATGTATGGAGTGTATGCGCGTGGTCGGTATTATTCTAGGAATCCGTGGTATTTGGTAGGTACATCATCTCCTTTTCGTACGCCTGTGAGAATTGTGGCCACAAATCTGGTCCAGTTACATAAGCGAGGAGCATCTGAGTTTCGCATCAGCATGACGGCGACACCTACTTTCAATTGAGGCTTATGTGAGGGCACACCTGACAATTCTAGAGAGTTGAGGAACTCGACGGGATATGTTGTGTATTTTTTTTTCCGTGTGAGGATAGCCTTTTGACACTGCCACTGGTATTCGTGTATAAAGTAAAGTATCAGACTATACATGTCCCACTGCTGTAGTGTGAATTATGCCGTATAGAATTTGATCTGAAGATTTCAGGGAGAGAATCCGAATACAGACATTGATAAATGGTTTACTTATGAGCATTATTTGAAAACGCGTTCGTAAAAAGTATAATCACTATAACTACTTATATGCAGTGCATCGTTCAAAAAGAGGGTTTTATGTGCTTGGCCATGTTTAACGATGTCTGACTGAATCAGAGCTAAGGCAATTTTTATCAAATATGTTCGATTAAATTAAAGCGTGCTTAGTGAAACTGTAGGTACAAAATAGAGAATTTGCCCTTCAGATCTGAACATCTTAATAATTATCCCATAGTTTACGAAGCCAAATTATATAGAGCAGACGCATTCCACATAGACAGTTCATTGACATTTTACGAAGATTATTCCGCTTACCTGTCGCCGACCTCTTTTCCACTTGTGCATGAAGTCCTCAGCCGATTCCGTATCGGGTCCGCTACCCCACTCCAGCTTAACATCCTCTTTCTCCTTCTTTAGAATGGTTAACGCCAGCACCATATCTGAAATGTATAAGGTAACAGCTTTAATTTCATTAATTCACCTTCACACCTTATTTTGCCAGACAATTGTTATCAATAATTATTAACTTTTTTCAGAAACTTTCAATGTGCATACTAAACGATATCTATTTAGATTTAGATTAAAGCTACGTGTCTCGCAACTATTCATTGTTAAAAAAATTGTGTCTGATCCATAACTAAATTATTACTTTATTAGTTCACGCTTAAAATTTGATAAAACAATGGAGATAAAATACTTGCTAAGTGGTTAAAACTTGAATACATAACGTACGGAAGACGTGAATTTGATACCTTGAAATTTTAACCTTTCATGTTAAAATTCCATGAAGAAATATAGAAACGATTTCTTTTAATTCCTTCCTGGAAGAGACAACTTGCTGAACCAAAACCATGATCTTACTTGTATGTAAAATGAAATGAATTAAATTTTGCTTTGCGACACTATTGAAATCATTTTATTATTCTATCTAACTTTTCTTTTTTCAATTAAATAATCTTTTAAAAAGTCATCAAATGCTCACCATGCTTACAAGTGTTTGCGTGCATTCCTCAATAAAACGTTGACCCTTGACCGCTTTTAATAGAAAAAAAATTGACTAACTTGTACTCCTGATAACTTAATATAAGCAACTGGTGGCATAGGTTTTTCATAAATATTGGTATATCTTAAGTTAACAATACATTCATATAATATTATGACTGAGTAATTATGATCTCAATGGCATAGTTGAGGTCAAATTCAAACGAAATTTGTCACATATTTCAATGGAAAGTACATATAAAGGAAGCTCAATTACGAATAAATGGACAAAAAATAAACCATACTAATGTAATAAAGCTGAATAATTTTTTTGTTTGTTTGAACGCTCTAATCTCTGGAACTACCAGTTGAATTAGAAAAAAATCATTTTGCTTGTGATAGTTAGTTCTTGAGGCCTTAGTGAGATTATGAATGAATGAATGAATGAATATTCTTTATTGCACTGGTGTGTGCAATAAAGAATATTCATTCATTCATTCATTTATTGGTAAAAAGAATACATTAAAAATAACAATTATGTAAAGGTTGTACAATGGGCGGCCTTATTACTTACAGCAAATTCTTTCAGGCAACCTTTGGATGGACATAATATATCTATCATATATATCTATGGCATAAAATAAATTTATAATCCGCGATACGTTAGGGTAGAGTATTTTCTATGCATCTTAAATTTTTACAACAATAATTTTCATGCACAACAGGACTATTGTTAAAATGCAAAAGGATTATTTATTTGATCTTATATAGAAACATCATAACGATGTATTTACAAATACTATTCATTAATTATTTACTTATTTTAAACCCTTCCCGTCTGTTCGTCCTGGTTAGTAAACTGATACGAGGCCCATACATTTCATGGTTGGTGAACAAAACATAAAAAGGTAATCATTTGGCAGCCGGTGAATTGCTAATCTTAAACTAGCTATCAAAACAAAAGCTCGTTTGTACGATATATAAGAAGCACTCACGATCCAGCTCGAAGTACTGCGCCTCTTGCAGGAGCAGGTTGATGTAGGGGAAATCGTTCGGCAGCAGAAGCCTCTTGTTGCGCAGGAAGTTGAGGATGTGCCGGAACATGCCGCCGTCACGATCGATGAAGTAGTGCTGCTTCAACGTGTCCAGCACGATCGGAATCGCGCCGGAGAACATCCTGCCCAGCTTGGACTCCGGATAGCTGGGGACGATCGATCGCCTTACTTTGAATACCTTTCTCTGTCTTAAAGAAACTCCTTTAAGGCTAAATCCAATAGTGCACTCATGATGTTCCTATAAAGAGGAATGTATGACGTTCAACTAAGCATATTCTCAGCGTGAATTCATAATAATCTGGAATGAACCTAACACAAGCACGTAGATATATAATGTGAAAAGCGAAAAACGCGATATTTCACGACAAAATATTATTCATAAGCAGGAACCGCTGGAGGCAACGCCGGTGGCGAATAATCGTCCGCTTGAGCCGCCTTTAGCAAAAACAAATTTCAGGAGATGCCTAGTTTCGGTTTGCTATTATTCCAGTTTTATGCACAACCATATTTAGATAGATAGAGATGAGATAAAAGGCAGTGGGTGCCAATGATGTGTAATGCTCAAACAAGTACTAACTAATAACGTCACTTGTTTTGAGGTATATTTGAGGCAAGATCGAATTGATAAAATTTAAATATATTTATAATTTCTGTTTTTGAGTAAAGACGTTAAGGGTAAAAGAATTTGCCTCTTTTGTCTCTGCGTCGCCCATAGGTTGATTGGTAGAGAATGCCTTAGGCATTAAATCCGCCTATACACAATGCAAATTTTTTGTGTAAAAGTTTAAATAAATAAATAAATAAATTTGTGTTATTTACACATAAATTCTTTCACTCTTCTTTCACAGTGTAAAAGTAAAGTAAAGTAACAGCCTATACATGTCCCACTGCTGGGCAAAGGCCTCCTCTATACAGAGGGTATCAGGGCATAGTCCTAGTCCTGCCACAGTGTAACTGAATTGATTAAAAACTGGCCAAGTGCGAATCGGGCTCGCGCACGAAAGGTTCCGTAACATTTTTTATAAAGACTACATAAAAATCACTTACGTTGTTCTGTTATTATTGTTATTCCGTTTTATAGTACTTGTTGTTATAGCGGCAACAGAAATACATCATCTGTGAAAATTTGAACCGTCCAACTGTCACGGCTCGCGAGATACAACCTGGTGACAGACAGACTGACAGCGGAGTCTTAGTAATAGGGTTCCGTTTTACCCTTTGGCTACGAAACCCTTAAAAATGCTATGATTATAATGGTCATATTAATTGAAAGAACATAAAATACTTTTATAAACTTTTGTTGATTCCTAGCAAGCCTACCCATACAGAGTCGTGATTTAACGCACCTTCAAATTGAAGGACGATGATATTAGAACCCAAATTAAAATGTGTCAACAGAAATTATAAATTTAAAAACGATTCTATTAATAGTGGTTTTGATAGTCTTATAAAACCTCCCTAAATCCTGTTAAATTGTAAGTCATTATAGGCGAAAATTAGTTCTTTTTTTATTAAACAGATTAGAATACAACACAAGTTAACCATACTATGCACTTAATTAACTAACAGATACACAATTAAGTTACGGATTTTTCTCAAGGAAGAATCGTCTCATTGCGAAATTTTAACTTAATGGAAGCCGTTTGGTAAATTGCCGATTGGCAATTACGTCGAATGTGCCAGCCGACCCGATTGATTGTGTGGCAACAAAATCGTGCGCGATTTCGCGAAATAGACTACAAACAAATTTCGAGGGTCACTTTCGTAAATCGTTCATTAGCCAAATAACTCACTGGGCCGAAAAGAATTTTGCCATCCAAAATTCATCCGCCCGCCGAAAGAGGGCGCCGCTTTCGTTCATGGGGGATGGAGGAACAGCGGGTCATTTACGTTCGTGGCGCCGTGAGTTGATTAAAAGAGCGGGATGGCTCCGCGGCCCGCGACGCCGGGAGCGTGGCCCCGAGCGCCCGATACCGGCTCGTTTGCAGCGAACCCGCCGACGGAATGTTGCACACACATCCGTTACTTCTGGCCGCGACGGATGACTGATTAATTGTCGAGCTGTATCTGCCCCGCCCGTGCCTGGAAGCGCGCGCGACGTTTTGCCCAAGCGAAATTTGCCGCCGATAAATTTGCGCTCGATCCCCGCCTGGCCGTTGACTGGCGATTTGTGATACGGAACCAATCACTATAAAAACTACATAGTATAAAAAAGTCACCCCGCTGTCTGTCTGTCTGTCCCTATGTATGCTTAGATCTTTAAAACTACATACAGTGATTCAAGAGGAAGTTTTATATAATATATTATATTCGTGCGACGCCGGGGGGGTCGCTAGTTAAGAAATAAACATATTTTTGCCCTTTTTATTAAATTAATAACTCGTTACACGAACCTTTTCTGTTTGCCAATTTAACGGACTCGAAAGACATAATATTCAATCCCATGACAAAAAAAAATTATTAATGAACTAGCTGTTGCCCGCGACTACGTCCGCGTGGAATAGGGTGAAAGCGAAAAATTCAGACAGATGCAGACAGATATCTATACATATAATAAAAATGTAACTTGTCTTTGTCTGTACATGAAAGACATTTGAGAAAATTTCACTTAACATTAATTAACTATTATTAAAGGTCCATCTTTTTCAACGCAATAGAACCCAAAACAATGGCTGTAAATATTGTTGTCTGTGTGTCTGTGCTTTTGTGCGCGCTAATCTCAGAAACGGCCTAACCGATTTGGGTGGAACATTAACTAATGCGTTGTAGTACTTCACTTAAATTTAGTGTTAGTTTTATTGAAATCAGTTCATAAATAAAAAAAGTTATATCAACTTAATAAAAAAGTAATAGCTACAGCTGAACTGGATGAAACTATAATTATATTATGGTCTGTAAAATGATGATGATTGTTAAATTATATAAATTTAAAAACCAGCCAACTGTAAGTCGCAATCGTACACGAAGGTTTCCATACCATAATCTATAAAACGGCAAAAAAATCATGTCTGTTGTATGACCCCACTTAAAAAAATATTCTGAAGAAAAGTTACGTTTATATGAAGTTGAAAATGGAATCCGCCATTGCACAATTTTACACCGACATTGCGCAAGCGAACTTAAAAACTCAACCGGCTAATTTGTGCCTTGGTCATTGCTTGCAGTGAGCATAATTAACATAATGAAGAATTAGTTATCCTGATATCATCAGGAAAATTCTTGGTTATGTTAGAAAGTTCCCCAAATACTGAACTTATCAGTTTAATTTCGGAGAAATCGATTGTACCAAGTATGTCGGGAAGACACACCTCCCCTTTTTTCTCTAACAGGATATCCTTTCTGCCTTCTTAAATTTTAACAGAAAATTGGAAAATTCTTGGGCAATTAAACAGAGTCCGCACGTGTACTGTAAATCGTAGCTTGTGTTTTTGCGGCCAGAGATAAAAACACTTCTGTGAAGCATTTATTTCTTCGCTTTAGTCCCCTGAGTAATGACAGGAAAGGTTTTGAAAATCTCCAGAGAAAACAACTGTGATGTTTCCCATTGGCCTTTCATCTCGGTGTATGTAATGTAGTGTTCTGTCAACGGTCTTTACGGGTACTCAGTCAAAATGCACTCTCAGCTTACTTTTTTACTTTACTTTAATGTCTATTGTTTATAACCTATAACTAACTCTAATGTGCGAGATAATGAATGGCGTCTATGGCGAAATGGGTATCAGCACTAAGTCGTGTTTGGTTTTCATGACATTGTTGAGATCCAATCGTACTCATTTTTTTTTAATTCTATCGAGGCATTTTTTGTAATAAATACTAAAAAGTCGATACCGAATCTACTTTTTTTAAGTTCAATTATTGAGAAAATACTAAAAAATAAGTATCTCAATTAGAAAAAAAATATCAGACACAATTTGTGAATCTGTGACAAAAAACAAACATAATTTCCAAACCACAAAGCAAAATAATATCTGAATATCCTAGCCTAACCAAATCTATATAACCAAATAATGACAGATTTGTCCGTTGGTCGCCCTAAGCTCATTAAAGATTAAGAGAAAATTAAACGAAGAAAGTACATGATATTATGGAGCCGACGAATGGTACCTACTTATCAGGCCCACCTGATTTGTTATAATTTTTATGGAATATCGCCAACCCAAAGAAGCCAGAGGCGACAGGCGAGCAACGCTACTAAAAAAACCCACTAATTTGCAGCACACATTTGGACTGCCAAAGTACGCCTATGGAGAAATCCACCACTGTTCCTAACATTTAAAAAGTAAAAAATAAAGTAACAGTCTTTAAATGTCCCACTGCAGGGCGAGACCCCCTCATTACAGAGGGTATCAGGGCATAGTCCACCACGCGGCCCCATTGCAGATTGGCAGACTTCACATACTTTCAAAAAATTTTTTTCGTTATTATTTCGAAAACATGCAGGTTTCCTCACGATTTTTTCCTTCACTGTTGAGCACGTGATAAGTCAGTACTTAAAGTTAAAAACTTCATTGGTGCCGGCACCGGGGATCGAACTCAGGTTGCTCCAGCATATTGAATTAAAAGTGAGCGCCCGGACAATGAGCTAACTCACGGCCTGACAACTAACCAAATCACAAAGCAAAATCAAGAACATCCGTATACCGAGCAAAACTAAAATCGAACCTATCGTATATATCTCAATCGAAGAAATTTGCATTATTATTATTAAAATGCAAATGGTTGGCGCTTGTCCCATAGTTAGCTTGTAAAATATGTATATAGCGCATTTTAGGAATTTAACAACGCCATCTAGTTTTCACGGCAACTACATTCTTATCTTCTTATCGTAACTTACCTACTGGATTGTAATTGTATCAATTGAAGATATTGTTAAATCAAGCTTTTTTTATTATCAAACTGAAAATTCAAGTTATCGTGATTAAAATTTTTGTCACTGAGAGCACATTTTTTATGGAACGTAATTTTTTTTTTGTATTCATTTGAAAAAATTAAAAACTGTTCCAATTGATCCAGTAGCTAATAACGTATGTATTCTGTTTAAGTAAACTAATTAAGATCAAACGATACTTAAATATTGCGAGGAAGTACTGTCACCCTGTCAAATACCCCGATAAATCGATCCTATGGTTTGTGAGTATTCACATAGCTTTTATTGAACCAATTGCAATAAAACAAAGCTTTGATGTTGCACAGAATTAATCTTGAATACTTACAAAAACACCATACAAATTAGTCCAGTAGCAGGATAACTGTGATAACTGTTTGCGACTGCACTGCTTCAATCTTAAAACTCCAATATCTCCCGTTTGAGTAAACTGATTGAGATGAAACAAAGCCTAGATACTGCCCCAAGCTTTGCTTAAGTAACCAGAGAAAACTACATCATAATCCGATAAGTATCTACTTTTCAAGTTTATCGCTAACAGACAGACAGACAGACAAAAATTCCAAAAAGTGGTTTATATGTTTCCTATAACACTTTTTATGATACCCTTTTTCATTTTTTCATAAATACATTCAATGTACAGACAGGCCGATTCTACTCTTTTATTATTGTATAGATTGACACTGGCTTTCTATTATACGGTTTAAAATAAATAACTGGTGTAAGTACTCATATTTATTATCATCATGTTATTATCACTCTATACATCGCTATTAATATATCCCTTTTTCACTTTTACATAATATAATATATCAAATTGACCAGCGATTTTGTTAAATTTTGCAAATTTATTTAAAAATGGCATCAATGCCGTGGCCCGAAGCATTAAAATAATGTGTGTATATGACAGAATTAAACGATTTTTCATTAAAATTATGTAATCTGATTATCTGTCACTACCTGTATAATATATATACTCGTTTCAATACGTAAATCTGAAAATTCAGTCCGTGATTTTGTATATCTTAATTTAAATGTGATTGTTATGTGAGATGTGATTTTACTGTGGAAGGGCCACGCAACAGTCTTCGCTGTTGCATGAATGGTCCATGTGCATCCGGAGAAGTATGTACATACCATGACCTCACAGAAGGCGAGCGTGAAATAAAAATGTAATTCTGAGGTGAGGTGCACACGTCTGGTAACAAGGGCCTACTTTACTAAAATGTGGCAAAGCGTCCGCAACTCACATAAAAAAATTTTTGTCAAGAGGATAGAAATTTGGGCTACTTTTTGTAACGAATGAACTATTCAGTATAGTCAAAAGAAGCTTACTGATTATATATTTGTACTTTTTTTTTATTTTAATGATTGAAAATAAATAAAAGGCGATTTAGATTATTTCATGAAACATCATTAAGTTTTCAATTATATTCCCGTAAAAATGTTTACTATTTAGAGCTAAGTCTAATCCATAGAACTGTCCTTTTTGGTTAGAAAAATGAAGGATTTGCATATAGATTTCTCAATATTTCGCTGGGGAAAGTGTGATAAAACATAATAATAAAAAAAAGAAATTCATGTGCCGATGATCGAAGTTCCTTACTATATTGTTATTGACACTAGGGTGACACTGAACGTTTTTAGATCTGGCCAGATGAAAAATTGCCAACTGAAAACTTCTTTTAAATTTGGAATAACGAAATCTTTGGTAACTAATGTAATATATTGCAGTAATTTTTCATTTGTTTTTGTCTATCGGCTTGTCTATCGGCGGCAATTCTAATTCGTGTTACTGGCGGTAATATAAGAAAAAAAGCGATTAGACTGGATTTATTGTAACGAAACAACTTGATGAGGGGATGTTTCTTTTAGGGGACCAGCCAACTTGAGTAAAGTAAGAAAGAAGTCTAGGAGAAAAGATGATCGCCGCGTTATATGAAATTCGATGAAAAATTTTAATGCGAATAATAGAAATGGCGACATCTCTCGTTCGAAATATCGATAAAGCTTTTTGGCGCGAGCCCATTAGACATGAGTTCGATTCCCGCAGCGGCAAAAAACTTTTCTCCTATCCTATTTGTATAAATTTTAGTCCCCACAATCAGTTTCATTTAGTATTCGTATGAAAAGCTCTCCAATGTGTAAAACTTAAAAAAAGAGTTTGAATATCAATAACTATTTCTAATAAGAATATTTAAGTATATCTTGTTTATTACGCTTAACACTTTCATAAGCATATTCACAGTTTTTCAACCATATTGCAGCCTTGCAGTTTTATATGTAAAAAAAAGAAAACTATAATTAGCCTAAGCACATAGCTAGACCGATGTTTGAAAAAAAGCAAACACGTCACTAATTAAAGAAACTACAAAACGTACATGTAACCTCTAAAGAGCTCCTAAGCTTACATTTTTGCTCACACGCTTCAAAGGGTCTAGTTAGAAATTATGACAGATGTGCATTCAAAATTGTGATATTTTCATTAAAAAGACCAGCCAAGTGCGATTCGGACTCGAGCACATAGGGTTCCGTACCGTTATCTAAGAAAACGCCTCAAAACATGTCTGTTGTATGGGAGCCCCACTTAAATATTTTTTTAATCTGTTTTTTAGTATTTGTTGTTATAGCGGCAACAGAAATACATCATCTGTGAAATTCCAACTATCTAACTATCACGACTCATGAGATACAGCCTGGCGACAGACGGACAGTCAGCGAAGTCTTTGTAATAGGGTCCCGTTTAACCGTTGGGGTATCCTAAAAATAGCAAAAATCATGTCTGTTGTATGGGAGACCCACATAGATAATAATTTTTATTCTGTTTTTAGTAGAATTTGTTATGACGGCAACAGGAATACATCATCTGTGAAAATTCCAACTGTTTAACATGCGACACAGCCTGGTGACAGACGGACGGACAGACATAACAGTGGAGTCTTAGTAATAGGGTCCTGTTTTACTATTTGGGTACGGAACCCAAAAAAATGAGGAGCAGATTTACTAAGCGTTAATAAAATGGATGGGCTCGCCACAATGTTGAAATGTCGAATGCAGCCAGACACATTATTTTCACGATGACAATCGAAAACCGTAATGAAAGAGCCCCCTCGTTACACCCCCTGAGTTTCAGTCATACGTTAATTATTGTCATTTAGACACACGTCATTGGTCGGAGGAACATTTTCAACAGGTTCCCCACTTCATGCGAGTATTTCTGAAAATAACTGTGCTTATTATGTCGGTTACGTATCCAGTACGGAAGCAAATAAGACATTCGCATTGAGAACATTACCAGTTCAACCATGTCTCTGGCACTCGTCATTTTTTTTCTGTTGGTGTGCGTGTATTATATTTTGTGTGTATTTTCCAGCACTTTATATAAAGAAAGGGAAGGGTAACACAAAACTTCTAGTCACATTCCTCATGAATTGACAAAGATTGCTTTGTCTATTCATTGTATAGCAAACAAGAACAGAATCCGGTAAAATTTGACCATCACATTTGAATATTTTCCTGTATTTGTATTGTGCAAAACTTTATTAACTACATAACGTTTGTTAGCCAGCGCGACACAAAGAGGACTTTTCAAACTAGCCATACGGATACAAACAAAACGCGACTCGATAAACAATCCTGTCCACAGTTGAGTTTCAACAAAAAAAAATTTCCACAAAGCAATATACAAGGAATGTAGCGATTGATTAATTAAAAATATGTTAATATCACATCTATCTTTAATTAATAAATATGAACATTAGCAGAAACTTTATATGGTAACACATGCAAATATGGCAGTACGTTAGAAACAAGTCCCGAGTTATACATATATTTTACTTTGATGTTGATTCTTAGTTCAAGACTGAAACTTCATTCATATGTTGTGTAGCAATAAGTTATGTGAACGCTCTACTTTTACACTAAAGTCAGACTTAGACGTCATCAGCCATTTCCACATTACGCATCTAGGCTATTTCGTACTTACGATGTTAGCGTCTCCAGTGAGGAGGTGTAAATGACCCCACCGACGTCAATGTGCACGGGAGCCTTGAAGGCCGAAGTCACCGCAACTCGAGGCATGTAGTTGAAGGATTTGTTGTCGAAGGGGTTGCTGCTTGGTAAGCCGGGCGGTACTGGCTGCATGCTCATGAAGGCCTAGAACGATCAAATAAGCACATTGACACCCGTGCTCAATACAATTTTCTTATTTTCTTCTTATATCAGAAGCATATGAATTACTAACACTTGTTATGTGTGACTACGTCTATACTGTCTCTTGAGCTATGAAAAAATTTAAAATTTTGACGGATATGTCGCCACTCTACCTGTTTACATCCGCTAAAGTTCGCAGTTCTTAAGTTATTAATAAAAATACACAGATAAAAGCCTTTACTAGTCAGCACGCCAATCATACACACTATTGTACCTGTTACCTGAAGTTTGTCACTTAATTATTGTGAGTACTTACAGATACTACTGTAAGTAATAATTACACTACACACTTACAAAAACTTCGTAAAACATTTGTGACGATATATGTGAAAAACAAAGGAGCGAACGACATCTATTCAACTTCATACATTGCTAAATAGCATCATATGTTTAACTTACTTAATCTAAATACTCAAATCTTTTCTGGAGTTGAAGTATTCATACTAAAATATTTGTTCAAAACGCTTATTTATCTAAAAATCCTTTATTCTAAAGAAATCCTTTATTGGTGTAAACAACGTAAAGGCTTTTTTTTAAATAAGTTAATTAGTCAACTGCGTAGTATTCACATTTTATTATCAGTGAAAGTCGAAGAAAACAAATTTAATTACGTCTGTCATTAGCCAGACACCAGATTGATAAAGTTAAATTCTACTTCGTTTTATTCTACTTCGATTCGAGAGACCTCTTGGACATATTTTTTTTTTCTTATTTTAAAAACATTGCCCTTACTTTAGGATAACATTATCCTGTGTTGTAAGAACGTTTTACAAACATAAATTACACGCGGACAAACACCAACATTCCATACAACTATCAGTGGGTCACACAAATAGTCGTCCCGTATGAGGATCGAACCCACGACCCCGACGCCGAAGCCAATACCTTGGCAACTGCGCCACGGAGTGATCAAATAAAACGACAGTAAAACTATGTAGAAAAAACATCGGGTGCTGCATTGGGAAAAGTCCTACATGAGCTCTTTGCGCTCACTTGACTACATCGTCGTCTGTTTTTATCCGTGCGCAATCGACTGCCAGGCTTCCCTGACTTTACAGCAAAGTCTGCGTGGGAACACTCCACGACCTACTGCCATTACAACACTCCCACGGCATTTTTACAAACCGCAGCCTAGGCTGTAATATGTTTCCAGAAACAACGTCTAGCTAGACATTACGAGGATAATTGCCTGTTTAGAACAAAAGATTAGTAGGTATAAAGTTTAATCTATAATAGTATCATTCACGACATTTTAATCGAATCGTTTTGACACATTGTGTTTTATGAGAGTACGCGACAAGTACGCATTAAGAGTTTTTTTTTTAATGTGAGAAGGTGGCAGGTGAGCTTCACCTGATGTCAAGTGATAACCGCCTCCCTTAATAAAGCGGGGCCCCGGCTACCACTCCATCTACCGGTATTATAACACTTTCACTTCTCGCCAGTCTTATGTGAGTGGGGTCGTGGTACTAACCCAGACGGACCTGCCCATCTGTGCAACTGCGCAGACTGTAGCGTGGCCCCACCATAGTAGTTACGTTACTTTGAAATCAATTGTTTTACTCATAACGTACAGGTGAAATCATTTATTACGCAGCAAACCGTCGCCGAAGCGTGCAAGACTTTAGCTATTATCTATACAGGTCTATAAGGGCTTGCACGCTTACATAGCTTCTATTTGTAACATCACCCCTAGAATTGGCGGGATGTTTGCTTGGCATGAATGGATTTGCCCAACGCAATGTTTGCTTCATTCGGCCGCCAGCACGATTGCTTTTGACGACCAAGATGCAGAACGTCAAAGCGATCAGTAATGACTTCATGCGTAAACGATCAGTAAATAAAGCCACGGTGTGACGTAACATCGAGTCAAACTGATATAGAACAAACACGACAATAAGAGCTGGTGCCAATTCTAAATATTAAGTACCCTATGTCAGATTTCTTAAAGCAGACGTTCCCAATATGTTTTCTCAATATGTTAGCCTAGTAGTACCTGCTTAATATAGGGATTCTGCTGAGTTACAATACGAATGTAAGATCATAGTAATATCAATTTTTTTTATGTGAAAAGTTGCCAAACGAGCGGACGGTTCACCCGATGTTAAGAGGATACCGCCGCCCATGGACATCTGATACACCCTAGGGTTTCAGATGTGTTGACAACCTTATGAAAATTGGGCTCCGGCTGCCTCACTCACCAAATGAAACGCGAAAGTTTTATACTTCGGACAAGCCTGCCCATTCATGCAACAGCCGAGGCTGCTGCGTGGCTCTAGCACCGTTAAAACGCCACTTGACATCAATGTTCTCTTCAATTTAATTTTTGAGTTGACATTATATTACCGCGGTTGGCTCCGCCAAAGAAATCAAGATCAGCAAGGCAATATTAAAGAGGTCCTGTAATTAAAAGTAAAACGAAAATAAAAAATGAAAGATGCACGTTCAGCGACAAGTTAATTATATTACCTCAACTCACACTAACAGTAATTACGCACCAACATAATAACTTAATAATACAATGAATTATCATCAAACAAAAATGATTTGTTCAAATATGTTTATATATCGTATAATACGCTAGTTTTCACGTTTCATAATTATAGCAGCACCAAGCACTGCCATTGAATGAGGAACTACAAGCCATCGCAATAACGCCAGAGGGCATGATGGATATTTTATGCACAATTGTTAATTAGACAATAATTAATTATTTACTGCTCCTTTTCAACTCCTTAGTTTTTAGATTTCTGGGACAAATCATAAAGTTACACATTTTCAAAAAACTTAACCATTATTATAGCAAGAAGAATTTTCTATTGTAATAGGTATTATGCATATTACACTCAAAGATGGAATGAACTACGGAATTCATGGTTATGGTCTGGTTTATACACATATTGTGTATAGACATATGTTGACATTGAGTACCGTCTGTGCTGCGTCGGTACTCTTAACCGGAAATTGAGCGCAAATCGATTTTCTCTGATCACGGAGACAGTCACATCGAAGCCTTCTTCGATGTGACTGTCATTACCGTTGATTACCGACGGGCAATTGTTTGTGGAAATTTAAAACAAATGAATTCCTGATTTTTGAAAAGCCAGATTTATATTATTAGTTTAATATCATTATGGCATTGGGAGTAGAATGAAAGATAAAAATTTTCACACTAGTTCTTAAAAAAATCGCCAGCTTTATGGCTAAGAAGGAAGTCAATAACTTTTTCAGTTCTTAATTGGGTCTCAGAGATCGGGTTATGAGTAGAGAGAACGAGCAGAATTTTAGAGCGTTAACTTGTAAAGTTGTTGGTGTTAAACTTCCAAAACGGCAAAATAAAATATTGTTAAAAAAGTTATGTTTTATAATAAGCGCTAAGGAAATTAAACTTAATTATAGTTATCATATTTCCCCCAGACTTACTTTACATAAGCCTCTGCTCGCATACAGGCAATTTGTGGGAAAATGAAGAGAAATCAAAAAAATATAAAACTATTCACACAAAGAAGAGGACTTAATCAAATTTACTTTACGTTGTAGCAGCGAGAGCTTTTCAACGGTACAAAATTACGCGACACAACCCCGCTCTTTGATTTAAATTTTTTGCGGTTCTGATTAAAAATAACCCTGGCTGATTCAGAACACAGAGTCAGAGCTTTTATCATACTCACATCTATGTATGAGAAGACTTGACAGAGGATATTTCCTGCGTGTGTAAACGTATATATCTCCAATATTTTAAAACACAGGACGATGCAATGATTCCGTTATAAAGCGCATATTTTTCTTTTTTTATATAGAAAAACACCTATACAACAAATAAATACCTATAAGTCCATTACACGACATATACATTTAGCTTTACATTTGTATATTGTGATAAACCTTTTATTAATATAAGGAATATGGATGCGTTCTTATCATTAATAAAAATTGCGATAAGAGATTGTGTTATAATAACATTTCTGCGATTTTTATAGAAAACATAAATAATGATATTGCCTTAGGATTAGCATAGAGTAGCTTTTTAGCGTTCCGTATCCAAAGGGTAAAATTGGACCCCAAAGCCTCCGCTCTCTGTCCGTCTGTCACCAAGCTGTATCACAATACCTTAAATTAAGGCAACAAATTTATTTATTTTTTTAGCAGGGTTTGTGTAATATTTTTTTATTTTATCCTTGTTAATTTTTAATATTTTTTTACTGTACGCTACATGCAACGAAGGAATCTACGCTTGCTTCGTTAATGAATCAAGATCGTTGTAAATACCAGACCGCTTGTAGCAATTCCCTATAAGTATTCATCTATATCTTTCTAAATTTTAATATTATAATGGACCTTATAAAAAACTGTTTAGTCGCGGACTTATGGTACATGTCAAAGTGTTTTATACTACTAATTATGCATTTTCGGCAAAGTTTAACCCGAGGCCCGGATCTACCATGTTTTTGTGCCTACGGGATTTTGAAACCATAAAAATTTTTTTTTTCGTTTAACTCTTAGTCTAGACTACGACTTACTTAAGGACGTGACGGCAGATTGGCAAACTTCGCATATCTTTGAAGTCTGCTTGTGGCTTGCAGTCCGCTGTATTCAACATCATTATTATCCTCCTGCCCTTATCCCACCTAGGTAGGATCGACACAACATTTGAACCATGTTGTAAGCGGTTTTGGCTATCTTTTTGACGACCGGCCGCCTGCCCGACGTTGAATTTTGCTTCTATTATTTCGAAAATAGACAGGTTCTCCCTTACGATGTTTTCCTCATGGCTGAACACGTGATAAGTGAGCTCTTGAAATTACAATTAACAATATTACTGGTGCCACCATCAGGAGTATATTTCAGGTTTCCAGTGCAACTTGAAAAATCCAAACTCTGTATAACAGCCAGTGTAAATGGTGACGACAGGGCGTACGCCTGCAAGACTGACACATGACACAGTGGTGGTCCGAACTGGTTAAGAGTCAATTAATTTTTATGGCTCCTATGCACAGCGGCGTTCGCGAGGCAATTTGCAGCTGGCGGGGACAAACAGCCGCGTTCTACCCTTTCTTTTCAAGTGTTTTTTTTAAGTATGGCTGGTAACAACGCCGCTCTTTGTTTCAATTAAAAAAAAAAATGTTTACTGTTTCGGGACCACGCAGCAGCATTTGCTGTTGCACAAATGGGCAGGCTCGTTCCTGGAAGCCCGGCCGCCTCACGGAAGACCCTCGTGGAGTGGAAGTAATTTCACGTTTCGCCTGATTAGTGAGGTAGCCGCTTTTTTAAAGGAGGCAACGCACTGTTGTTGCAGATGTTTATAAACGGCTGTTGTAAATTTATCGTCAGCTGAACCCATAGCCATAATTGAAGCTAACTTTTTAAGCACATCAGTGTGCGAAGCCAGTTTGCTGCTGTGTTATGTGAAAAATTGTCAAGCGAACATGTGTTTTAACCCATGTTAAGTTATTTCCACCACGGATGTGGACATCTGGCATACCTTAGAGGTTGTTGATGTGTTGACGCAACTGAATCACGTTATATTTAACAATGAAATAGAACTCGGCGGCTTTTAAATTTGACCATACTGACTCTCATCTAAACAGAAGTAAAAATTTTACGATTTACTTTTAAAAAAAACTAATGATCTTTTAATTCAACAGGTTCGTTTAACACGAACCAACAGAGGATCATGATATTGGCGCAAATGCGCGGGTACATTAAAATTTTAGACGCTACAGCGATCATTGTCAAGTGAAAGGAATTGCACCGCATTGCTCCGAGACCCGAGTTTATCCCGAATAGCTGCCGCGGGGCACCAAGTCCAGCAGCTAATGCTGACGTAACGCCGAATCACGACGCTCTTTAATCTAATCCGACTGAATCGCTGTCCGTCCGTACAAATATATACCTGGCTGCAGCCCTCAGCACTAAATTTATCACGCGATAATCAAATCGCCCAATCCTCTTCCCGTTGAGAACTACCGATTTGATAACATCGTAACTATACTGATATAATAAAACTACAAAGCTTTTTTGTTACTTTGTTTGAACGCGCTTACTCTGGAACTACCAGTCGGATATGAAAATATCTTGAAATTTTGCATTTGATAACCCAATTCTTGAAAAAGGTTATAAGGTATTCAACATCACGCTACGACCTACGGGGAAATCGGATGGAAAAGCTACCGCAATATATATATAATAATGTTTACTTTATAAAGTAGGCATATTAATTTAAAGGCAGCGAGACTGTATCATTAAGCGAATTTTTGAAACCACAACGGAAAGCTCTTTAAACGTGAAAAAATTAATAAAAAACATTTTATGACAGAAAAAATCGAAATGAATCGCGAATCCTGATTGACTACTACTAGTACGCACTACTGGGTGATTTATAACGTGTCAAATCGGCTGCCACGCGGCGAATCATACAGAGAGGACGATTTGATCATTTACAGTGTCAACGTGCTTAATTTACATGCGCCGACGAGAGTCGAAAGATATCAACAGCAAACGCAATACGCGATGGAGGCTCAGAACTTCGCGTACTTGGCCCGAGGGTGGCGCACTTCTTACCTGTCTGGTTTCATTATAAACTCGCCGCCAGCTATTTGCCCACTCCTGAACAGCCAAACACCAAGCCCCCGAACGAGTATTTCCCGTGCTGTTATTACTACGCAGTTGGTTGCGACTTCACGTTAATAATGTCAACTCAAACGTAAAACTAATTAATTCCGTCGACGGCCAGTGGCTGCGAGTTTGGAATTACGATCAAATGTAGCCGGGTCGGATGCGCTAGACGGTGTACGGTCCCAGTCGGCGCCTGTCCGTTTACACA